CTTGTAGTATTTTAGTTTTAGAATTTTTTGGTTCTATTGTATTACTTTCTCTTTTAATAAATCATTGTACCTTTGAAAAGCTTTTGAACCCTTAGTGTTTAAGATATTTCCAAATTACAGTATAAAGTGTTTACATTTGTATTTAGCAATCCTAGGTTTGTTCACTTTCTTTTAGGACGTAATTCATGTTTGTCATATTAACTAATTTTACATATAAATGTAAATAGCTTTAGATCCAAGACACATGTCCAAAGTCATAATGAAATATTTCTAAAGCATAAACAGTATTTTGAATGCAACCGTAATGTAAAATGTAATGTGCTTCCAATAAGTTGTCGTTCCATCGTTTTCGTGGTCTTCTTAACGATCGCCTTCCTATTGGGGAACCGTCTTTAGCCGTATTTACTACTCTATTTGTGGTCATTCGGCTTATATCATCGTTCCATTCTACTCTATTACTTACAACGCCCAGTTCCACCACCGTGATTTAAGTGAAAATTTGATGTTAAGAAATAATTTTCACTTAAGTCCGTTGAGTTTCGTTCCACCAACTAAAAATATTTACTTAAGGCTGTTTTATCGGTGCACCCAAACCTAGGAACTGTTAATTACCGACAAAATTCTCGAAATTTGGACACAATATTCAAAACTATGTTGCTTTTAAAATGATGGTTTTACTTTTTTTAATTTTTTGAAACTTTTGTTGAAAAATTGGATTATACTGTTTAACGTTCTATTATAACCAAATTTTACGCCGATCACTTAAAAGAGTTTTTTTTTCTATAATCGTTGATTTTTTTTTCACCTTTCTGTGTCCAGTAATAATCGAGAAAAGCGTGATCAAACTTTGAAGAAAATTGTTTAAAAAATACTAAAATCTAATAGTGAAACGTGTTAGTCATCATTGTCGCTTAGGTTCACCGTTATCGCATTGGTGACGTCAAATTTCATGAGCGTACGGTCAGTTTGTTCATGTTAAAACTAATTTGAATGGAGAGTAATGCATTTGTTGCCCGTTGGCCTACGCCACTGAGTAAAGATAGTCTCGCGTAAGCAGTGTAGAAATGTAAGTGATACGCCCATTTCAAATCTCAGTGTGCTTCAACTGCTAAAACAGCCTTAAGTCCAAATATTTTTGCATAAGCTTAAGTTACCTACTCTGACGACTTAAGGAAAAATTTTAACTTGAAGCATGTATTAAAATTGGTGTTCTGTCATATATTGACACATAAGGGAGGTTAAAGGTTTCTTTTGTTAATCGTCGATGTTAGGTTAACTCGCATTTTTTCGGTCTAATTAGATTTTTTATATTTATATTCTTATTTAATCTATAGTATAGTATATAGTAATATAATAGTATAGTACTCTATAGTATAAAAGTAGTATATGGTATTATAATACTTTATAGTGTATATATTGCGTACGTAGATGTTTTTGTGTTGATAGAATTTTTATTTTTATATTTTTTTATTGTAAATTACACCAACGTGTATAGTTTATCGTGTATATATAGAACATAGTGTGTACTATAGTTTAAACTATTATATTTATTTTATAATAGCTACAAAATAAAATATCAAAATACACAAGAACACAGGTCACCATTTACATTTACAATAAATATTGAAATAACCCTGAATTAAAGCCAGCATCAAAAATGACGCAAATGTTCTTCTTTCTCTCCTTTTTTTGTTGTTTCTGCCTTAACCCTCTAAGGACGAAATTTCCAAAATTTTAAAAATTCTCCCGAAAAAATGTTTTAATTAAATTAAAATCAACAATTATGTGTACGACATATTAATATTAAATTTTTATCATTATTTTTGCAAAAAAACTGAAAATTTTAAACGTTACGAAAACGTCACATTAGGCATCTAGAAGTAAAACCATTAAAATTATTGTTTAAGATATTTATTATTATATTATATTATATTATTATTAAGATATTTATTAGTGCAAAAACATAATTTTTGAATAGCATGACAAATTTTAATTATGATGAAAATCGTAAAAACAATTCGAATTTTTATTAATACATAAGTACACGTTGCACTTCTCACAATAATGCACAGGAACTGCTTTACAACCAGGTTTTCGACATCGTCCTCTTTTATCTTTCACAACGGGCCAATGTCCTATTTCATCCTGCCGAATATTTTTTTGAGGAATCATTTTTGTAGCTGCACTTTTGTGTTTTTTTGCTGCCTGAAGATCATCAATAGAGCTACTGCTGGGACGTCCCAATTTTTTGGTAACTGTCAGTGTCTTTCCTTGCTTCATTAGGCTTTCGGCTATGCGACTCTTAAACTCAAACAGAGACAGCTCGTTTTTCTTTGGAACACCAAAATCATTGCAGTTACGTCTATATAAAAGCCAACAATTTACAACTGCCATATCCATAAAATGGAATAAAAAAAGATGGTAATATTTCTTCGATCTAATTGTGATTCTGTATAGACCTATTAGTGAATTCATAAGATCTACTTCGCTCATGAATTTATTGTAAGTTCTAATTGCTGTGGGGCACTGAACATCTACAGTATCTTTTCTTGTTTTATCCCATCTTCTAATTGTATCAAGAGGTTTGGCAGAGGAAAAGTTGGAAATAAGTAATACTGCACGAGAGTCGTGCCATTTGATAATTCTGCAATGTACAGTATCAGTTTTTAACTCTATTTCCTGAAACGATCTGCGTCCTCTTGTTTTCAGGATTTTGTCTGACAATAAAGGACACCTAGGAAGACGGTTTGAGCGGACTGTTCCTAGACAATATATTTTCTTTTGAACTAGCTCATTCAAAAGAGGTATCGATGAAAACCAATTATCGATATAAAGAAGGTGATTGTCTTGTTGAATGCTTCTGCAGAGTGTTACAACAATATTGCCGCTGGAACCAATATCATTGTATCCTGGAGTAGCGGAAATTTTTCCAGTATATATTTCAAAATCGTACGCAACACCACTGGAGCCAGCCAACACATAAATTTTGTAGCCCCATTTGTGAGGCTTTTTTGGCATGTACTGTTCTAGCCCGGAATGACCCTTGAAAGGAACCATTTGCTCATCGACCACGACCATCTGCTCCTTTGGAATATTTCGAAATTTCTGTACCAAATGTTCTACTAAGGGTCTAATCTTGTACAGTTTATCTAAGTTTGATGGATCAATTTTGGTATTATCGGAGAAATGTATATGTTTTTTTATTGTTTCCCATCTGTCTCGACTCATTATTTCACGAACTGTAGTAATATCAAATCGAGAACTCCAATATAATCGAGTTTTTGGTAGTTTGATCAAAGACATAAAATATTGTACCCATAAATTGTTCTAGCTCTTTTATTGTCAGCCCCAGTTTATTGGGGTTTGTTTGGACAGCAAATAAATTCGATTGGTAAGTAATCAAATTTAGAAAGTTATCGTTGAAAAATATTCTAAAATAATCTATGGGGTCTTCTATAGAAGTAGCTTTTGGTAAGCTGTAGTTTCACATTGGAGTAACAATGTCAATATTGTTTTTTTCTGTTATATCAGTATATTCATTCTTATTGCGCGTATATTGTTCGTTTATTATTTCTACACCACCATCACTAAGATCTTCCTCAATTTCAGAACCAAAGTCCTCTTCTATTACCCATTCATCACTTTCATTTTCAGAATCATAAATACTTACATCACTATCACTTGGTACGTCAATGGCTTGATGCCGTTTTCGTCCGTAAAACATAGCTGGATCCATTTTGAACTATTTTAGTTAATCGACTCTATAACGCCGAACGTAACGAAATCGTAACGTTTACAACACGTGTTCAATCTTCAATTTACGACTGTTTATAGTGATAAGCATGAACTATCCATATACTACACATAACTTTCCCGCTAATAACTATTTTACAGATTCCTTCCCGGTAAACATTCACTGATTTTGTCGAAATTAAAATTACAGTTTTCTGTTAGCATCAGTCAACTTGTATCCTAATCTGTTTAGAGAAGTATGCGGTTGAAAAATTGGCCGGAGTGTGTCGCAGTGACTGTTTCAGTATGAAGCGTAATAGTACGAATTCGTAACTTTCGGTATCGATGAGATTAGTTTAATAGTTTGCCTACAAATCGCTTTTGGTTAGAACGTTACGAAAACGTCACACTCGTCCTTAGATAACGAGTCAACAATTTAAGAATTTCTGACAATTTTGCAAAGTTGGTATTTCTGAGAACTTAAGTTTTTCCTTGGTTAACTTAAGTAAAAACTTTTATGGTGGAATGCAAATTAAAACTAAGAAATTTTGAATGCCTATACTGCGGACACTCGACACTGTAACACATATTCTGTTAGAGTGCAGCAGATGGATAGTAAAAAGGAACAGAATAAAAAGATAGACAGATGTAAATTTTGTTACAATGAGAGAAATTATTGAAATAATGATTAAAAATAAAGTAGATTGGACTAGTTTAGATAACCATATCCGCGAAGTAATCAAGAAGACAAAAAAGGAAAAGAAGAAAAAATACTGTAAGTTGAGAGAATACGTTTTGATAAGAGGCAAAAAGTAAAGTAGATTGTATGAGTTAGATTGCGTGAGTCAGACTGTGGTAAAGAGGAAATGGCTGACTGGGTATAACGCCATACTGGGAGCGATGTGGGTCTCTCAACCATTTATAATTCTGTGAATGATGGGAATGAACTAGTGAAAACATGTTAATGCCAAAGTCAACTAACCCTATGGATATCCACGTCTGTGGCCGATGTAAAAATAGCTACAATAAAATATTGGAGACATCCAGGGCATGTCACACGACGTGCATAATAAGATAACGACGTTCAACTCAGGATATAGACGATTAGAAGGACATGTCCCGGGCTCTCGAGGAGTTTTTAGCGCCATTGGATCATGATACTGATGAATATGAGATTTTAAACAACGATAGAAAAAGAGATATCCTAAGAAAAATAAAAAATTTGTTTTTAGTTTTAAAAACATAAATTTATATAATTATTTTCTTACCTGGAGTATCAAATTCTGGAATGACTCTAATGCCTTTTAATCTAGCATGTTCTATTATAGTCTGTATATCTGCATATGAATATACTTGATAAGGGGTATATGCTCCTTTTTCACTGAAAAAAAAGATTGTATTAAATCAAAAACTTAGAATAGGCTTAGGCTAGATAAGATTAAGTTACCTCCAATTAGAAAAGTAGAAAGAATGGTTTCTGAATTTAAACGTGACCATATTATATCCTTCATGTAAATGTAAAAAAGGTGCATCTCAAATACGTAGAAATTTTTTTTAATTTAATTTAAATTATATATATATATATATATATATATATATATATATATATATATATACATATATCTATATATATATATATTTATATGTATATACATAGTATATATATATATATATATATATATATATATATATATATATATATATAGGGTGATCCTTAAGAAATTGTACAAAAAGAAACTGAAAATTTAACACTTTAAAATATTACGATTTAAGCCCAATTGCTTTAATAAAATGTTGATATTAAAAAAGATACAGGTTGTTGAAGTGGAAATTTAAAATTTTATTTTTCGCTATAACTTCCATGTTTGTCAACACTTATGAATAAAAATTTACAACTGGATACTATTGAATATTAAGAATTATAATTGAATGCATACTTTGATGTAGCTGATAAAAGTTACCGGTATTTTCGAAAAATATTAAAGATACATTATTTTAACAAAAAAAGGTTTACTTGGTAATATCATTAAAATTCAACAGTTTTCGAGATAATCGCAATTTACAAATCAACTACATAATTCTGATTAAAGGCAATTATTCCAGGCAACAAAGGAAAATTTAAGAAAAACATCAATATCAATAAAGTTAACAGTTATCGAATTATTAAATAAAATAAATATATTAGCAGGATAATTGATAATAGAATTTGACAAAATAACAGAATGATTGGATTTTACATGAAACATTTTACGTTTTGTATTAAATTCATACAAGTCATAATCAAAACATTTTATTTACAAACCTAAATAAGAAATAGTTAATGTCCACCATTTTCTTTAATTCATTGTCAATACATTCCATAAATTGGTTCTAAAGAAACTGCTACAGTATTTAATTGTTAAATTAATAAGTAATCGTTTGGAATTTTTATGATTTAAATAATTATATTATTATCTCCCCACATCACCAAGAAATATGACTACTACAAACAATCCAACGTTCAAGAAAGTTGTATTTAAATACTGTTCTCACTATCATTTCTTTGTAATGTAATGGTGTACCTTCTTGTATAAACCACATATTTCGCCCTAAGTTTGATGACAATTTTTCCAATAAATCAATAGAATCATTTTATAAAAAATGTAAATAAATCATGAGAGCAGCCCAAAATCGCAAGAGATGGAGAGAATTGACAGCCCGCATTGTAGGGAATCACGATCCTCAGCAATGAGGAAACGACAAGAGAGAGTTAATAAATCTCGCCATTCAAATTACAAGGTAATTCGCATATTCGTAAAAAATAATTACCAATGGTTTTAAACCATACGACATGCACGTTAAATATGAATTTTAAATAAACGTACGGTTATGGTATTATTTCGATTTTTATAAAATGATTTTATTGATTTATTGGAAGAATTGTCATCAAACTTAAGGAGAAATATGTGGTTTATACAAGATGGTATACCATTACATTACAAAGAAAGGGAGTGAAAACAGTATTTAAATAAAACTTTCCTGAACGTTGAATTGTTCATGGTAGTCATATTCCTTGGTCATGTAGTGAGATATTAATATAATTATTTAATTTATAAGACTTTCAAAAAATTACTTATGATTATACTTATATTAAGTACTGCAGTAGATTCTTTATATAACCAATGATGCTATTTAATACGAGAGGATATTTTATGGAATGTATTGACAAAATGAATTAAAGAAAATGGTGGACATATCGAACACTTACTTTGACAGAAAGTTTAATGTTGATTAGTGTAACTAGTTTTTAATTTGGTTTATAAATAAAATGGTTTTATTATTACTTTAATTTAATATAAAACGTAAAATGTTTGATGTAAAATCGTATTGTTCTGTTATTTTGTCAAACCTATTAGTAGTTATCATACTGATATATGTATTTTGTTTAATATTTCGCTAACTATTAACGTTATTAAAGGTATTTTATAATAAAATTTAAAGGTACTGATGTTTTTATCTATTTTTCTTTCGTTGCCTGGAATTATTTGCTTTAAATCAGAATTGTTATTCTTCAAATAATATATTAATAATAAATAACTTCAAAACTGTTGAGTTTTGAAGTTATTAAACGGTATATCTTTCTTTGTTAAAATAATGTATCTTTAATATTTTTTATCAGAAATACCGGTGGCTTGAAGAGCAAAAAGTAAAGTGCAAATGTATGCCACATATTATGTGACCCTCTATCAGCTACATCAAAGTGTGCATTCAATTATAATTCCTGATATTTAATAGTACCCAGTTGTAAATCTTTATACAAACATGAAAGTTGTAGTAAAAAATAAAATTTTAAATTTCCACTTTAACATTCGGTATCTTTCTTAATACTAACATTTTATTAAAGCTATTTGGCTTAAATCGTAATATTTTAAAGTGGAGGATCTGTGGTTTCTTTTTGTATATATATATATATATATATATATATATATATATATATATATATATATATATTCAAAAATGTTTTGCATATTATCTGTAACGACACTGAACGTTTCTCATTATAATGTATTTTATTGCTTGTTTTTTTTTCTCTTAATCGTCACGAAGATTCTCAGTATTCATATTGCGTTCATCAGTTTTCGAAAACCGATATTTGTAAAAATTGGTTTACGTTTTATTCACTTTTTAGTGAACAATATGATTAGACAAGTGATATCTGAGCTCATCTAAGCTAGAATCGTTCCTTTGGTTGAGGAAGGCCACACACAAGTCGACGTTGCTGTCCATAAACTTTCAAAACTTCCAGGATTAATTCTTCTGGGGAATAAATTAACTAAAGTAGGTACGAGATACTTCCATCAAAACTGAAGGTATGCTAGCCCGTTTAAATTACCTTCGACAAAGTAGGGTCCGATGATTCTATTCCTTACAATGCCAACCCATACGTTTATACGTTCCTGTACAAGTGTGCATATAAAGGGGTGCCATTTTTCAAGTTTTATTACTTTGTGTATCGTTAATTTGCAAACATCGAGATGTCGACTGACCTTACGAACAGAAGTGTGCGCAACTTTTTCGAAAGCAAGTAGAACATCTAATGTTGTATCATAATTTACAGAGGGACGACCTGATTTGCGTGCATTTTCAACCGTACGGTTTCTCGAAATTTCTTTTCAATCTTACCTACTGTTTACTGCGTTATGGATCTGTCTGAATATTTCTTATTAAATAAATTACGCACTTTCATCTGAGTTCGCGATTTGTCTCCAAACCCAATCATCATGAGTATTTCAATTATTTGCTTTACACTCAAATTCATTTCTATTTCAAATTAATTCTAAGCAATAATACAAAACATTCACGAATTAATACAAATATTGTACTACTTAATTATTATTGAACATTGATAAAAATAATTATATTTCACTAAAAACTAGTAGTAGGCTACTTTTTTGCAATTGATAGTAAATAATTTATTTTTTAAGCGCATATCTTTTAAATTATATCTATTAGACCCCGAGTATTATACTTTTTTGGAATTAGCTCATTTTTGTCAATCTAAAAATTTCCTAAAATATAGGGTGTTACATTAAAAAAAAGAGACGATGACGTCATCACATAATGTGTATTACCTTGTATAATGAAATTTTATTGTAAAATGTAGATCATTAAACTTAAAAGTGATTCCCAATGTGTACTTAAACGAGCTAACATCGTATCAGTGGTTTGCTCCTAGTTTGTCGAATGCCTCGACAACTAAGATCATTGGCATGGTACAGTCAGGTACCTAGTGTAGTGTGTGTGTGTGTGTGTGTGTGTGTGTGTGTGTGTGTGTGTGGGTGTGTGTGTGTGTGTGTGTGTGTGTGTGTGTGTGTAGAGTAATTGTCTCGATACTTAGCAAAGTCGACGTCATTGTCTTTACTAAGATACGCTAATTGTATCCGAACGTCTGCGGTCCCTCCGGTGAGTAGTACCGATCGCACAAGGATAGAAACTATTTTTATTTATTAATTTTTAATAAACGAAAATTTCTCCATCTAGATGAGATTCGAGCTCACGACCTTTAGGTTTAAAGGTAGGCGCTCTTACCACTGAGCCACAGAGGGGGTTACCAACTACTTTTAAATACTAGTAAGACCAGACTTTACCATATGTATTGATAAGACAGCACGTTCCGACTATTAGTCCGACTAGTGGCCCAACTTCTACAGTTGGATCTGAAATCGGACCGTGAGTGGGCTGGTTGGATTCAACAAAGATCCCTAGTTCGCAAATTATTAATAGAAAATAAACTTTCAATTGCACGAAAATTACCATTATGAAAATACACGATTCTTAATCATCATCGACTTTTGTTAGGGCAAATCATTTTCCATTCTTTAGATCTATTTCGGACCCTCCCACACAGGAACAATTTCCAACACTCAGATTGGCTACGAAGAATTGTCAACAAACAACGAAAATTAAATCATAGTTTTAGCAAAGATTTGTAGTTCGCAAATAAATAATAGAAAATAACTTTCAATTATTGCACGAAAATTATTCCTAATAAAAATATACGACACACATACAACAAAATAAATCCCAGCTCTAGTTCAAAACAAGGTTTTATTTCATTCTAAAATAGAATATACCTACACAAATCCTTAAAAACTATAATTTTTTCCTACATCTTAAAAAGTCATAAAAATAAGAGTCGAAAAAATTAATTAGTTTAGACAAATAACTAGAGAAACGAAACTTAATTTTTAAACATACAAATCGGCCGATTATTAACTAATTGTAACGACAACGTTCGTATCTACTTCACGACTTTCGTAATGAACAATGAAGGAATTTCCGAATTTATCGATATCCACAGATACAGAAAACTGGTACCAGAACAGACGAAGTAAATGTGCC